AGTACACGCTGGGCTCTCAGGAATGTGGCCCAGCCCAAACTCTGTGTCGGGCCATTTCTAATAACTCTTGATAATCATCTATACCATTGAAAAACTGAAAACAGCTCTCCATAAGTATATACTAATTCTACAAATATTCTTTTAAATCTTATAAAGAAGTTTGTACCATATAAAAGGTTCCCAAATGTGACCTGAATTTGAATTATATCTAATACCTAAGCTGAAACCACAGTTTATGGGAAATAGGAACAATGGGTTTCTAGAGTGAGCTATGCCTGTCACAGTCACAGAGCCCTCAGCTTAGGCCAGCAGAGTTCCTTTGTGCTGCATGGCAAAAGGGGGAGGAAAATGGGGCCAATGGCTCCCGAACACGTCCTAGCGGTCTCGGGGTCCACGGTCCTCCCTGATCCCTAACGCTCAGTGGGCCTCTGTGACCGGCTCCCAACAGTGGGAGGGGTGTCTGGTGACATGAATGACCTACAAGGAGGGGAAAATAGTACTAGGGTCTGGCAAGACAAAAGGGCATCAGAAGAAGTATCGAACCTACTCAAATATGAGCCACGTCGGGGGTGCACTGTTTACCAAACACAGAGAGGAAGGAACTCTGCACCTAGACTCGCAGTGCTGTTTTTAAATAACAGGAGTGCAGAAAATTCACCACTCATAAAACTTTCTGAGCCCTTTATTCAGAAATCCCAACAAAATGAAACATGACTTCCTTTTTTCAAGTGTTCTTGGAAAATCCACAGATGTCCATCAGGGGTTTGTCCAGAGGAGAGGGCTGTAAACCTTCCAATAGACCCCAACAGAGCATCTTGCTGGGTCAACACTGCCAGTAACAGTTGTTCTCATATGGGCACCGTCCACTTGGAAATTTACAGAGCCTCTCCTGTATACTTTTGCTTCATGGTAAAAGTTACACTGGGTATTTTAGAGTATTTAGAAAAAAGTCATACTGAAAACTGTGTACCACAAGTGAGAGAATACAGAAAAGTTTTCAAACAAAAATCCTCAAATGTATGGGACAGAAAGCAAAATTTAAGCAATCAACTCAGCAACCTGGAAAATATGCTAAAAATAAATTTAAAAGAGTAAGAGAAAGGAACATTAAAAAATTTAAAAGGAAAATTAATAAAATATAAAAAGACGTAACCTTTAAAAGTAGCAATAAATTTTAAAAGCTATAGAAAAAGCTAATAAAATAAATAAACATGAACAATTTAAAAAATATGTTCTAGAGATTTATGTTATTAGGTGCAACAAATATGAGTATATTTATCCTATAATTTGAAACTATAAATGAAATGTACCAAGTTCTAAAAAATAAAAACTGCCTACATAGATTAACAAAATAAAAATTTTAATGCAATGATGCCTGAGAAAATATTGAAAAGATGTTTAAGAATCTCATTCATCAAAAGGCACATACTGAAATAATTTTAAAGGTGTGTACATCAGCCTTTGATATAAAGACCTTTCCTATGATATTCAAAACATTTCAGAGCTTAGAATATATCACAAGTCTTCTGGATCCATCTAATGACATTGGCAAAACCCTGATGCCAATACCAGAAACAAGGGAGGGTGAGTGGAATGGAAGGAAGAGGGAGGAAGTGAGAGAAATTACATTAAAAGAAAAGTAAACTATTATGTACAGCCATAATGGAAAACAGTATAGAAGTATCATATGATCCAGAAATTCCACTTCTGGGTATTTATCCAAAGGAAATGAGCTCAATATGTGGAAGAGACATCTACACTCCTATGTTCATTGCAGTACTATTGGCCACATTCAAGCTATGGAATAAACCTAAGTGTCCACCAATGGACAGATGAAGAAAACATGGTGCATATACACAATGGAATACTATTCAGTCATAGCCAAGAAAGAAGGACCATCATTGGCAGTAACATGAATGGACTGGAGGATGTTATGCTAAGTGAAGTAAACCAGGTCCAAAAAACCAAACACTGCACAAGCTCACTTACATGTGGAATGTAAAATAAATAAAAGTCAAACCCATGAAAGTAGAGAGTGGAATGGTGTATATCCCAGGCTGGGGTTTCAGAAAATGGACAGATGTTGAAGAAAAGGTAAAACCTTTCAGTTATGCAGAATGAGTAAGTTCTAGAAACCTAACATATAGCAGTGAGTTTACAATAACACAGTATACAACACAATAATACTGTTTTGTAATCTGCATATTTGCTAAGAGTAGATCTTAAGTGTTCTTACCACACACACACAAAAAAACTACATAGGTGGTGCATATGTTAAGTGGGTTAATGTTGGTGATCATTCCAACATGCCATCAAAACATCAGATTGTACAGTCGAACGTTCTATAATCTGAATTTTTCAGTTATACCTCCATCATGCTGGGGGAAATAGTAGCAAGTCATTATAGAGTAGACACGGATCTCAGTTTCAAGTTGAAATGATATCATCAGCTACTCTAATAAATAGAAGCAGAAAAGCCATTAGAACTCTCAATAGATTAGTACACAGACACATGTCAATCAATTCATTCTTTCCTTAAAAGTCCAAGGCGACATTCCTGGTGAACTCCCTAGAAAGAAGTTGTCTGCACAAGGTCAAGATTGAGCTCCAAACAGGTGACTACCAGCTCAACATGAGATGCAGAAGGTGCTTCTGTCACCTTCATACACACGGCCAGAGGTGCCATTGTTTGTTCATCCAGTGCTGTGCAAGGCTCACAGCCCACAAAGGAAGGGAGCAAAATAAAGTGAAAGCCTATACTGTGGAGAAAAAGATATAAAATGCACGTCACTGGCAGAGGACATAGCTGATAGCCACCTTGCATGTCATGCTCGCATTCCTCCTGAACCCTCCATCTACCAGGCTGGGACCCATTCATCTCTGCAGATCCACTCTCTCCTAAAGGTCAGAGAACTTTTGCTTGTTTTCAAAAGTCATTTGATAATGTGATCATCCAGAGTCTCTGCCCTGTCAGCTTCCAACAAAAGCTCCACGATCCAAAAAACATGTCTCCAGTGAGAGCAAGAACCAGACATGTAACTGGCACTGAGACCCATAAAGTCTCATGGGTCCAGCAGTGACCATTTAGAGACACTCTGTCCAGTACCAGCAAGTCCAGAGGCCACGAAGGAGAGAGCTACAAAAGGGACAGGTAAGAGATGAGAAAAGAGAGGAGGAAGTCACCACGCCTATTCCATGAAGGGGATCCCAGGGACAGCAGTAGGAAAAACAAAGAAAGCTACTATACTGCCCCAGAGATTGTCCCAGGAGACAACATTAGACTTTCCACATCCAACTGACCACAGGAAAACATCCCCAACTCATGTCCCACTCACAAATCACATGCTTTCCTGGGAGTCACAAAAAAAACACAGCCATCTAACACTGGGAGAGGCACAAGTCAGAATCTATGTATTCTCAGGCTGATCACCAGCCACTGCCCTCTTTCAGAGATCACCTAGCTTCCCTATGCACTTCTGCATCTGTATAATGGGCTCTAACTTGCCCCTCACAGTGTGTCTGGTCTACAGAAGGCAAACTTGACCATGCACATCTGTCATTCAAGGCAAACCAATATTCCTGTGGTTTCCTTAAAGCAACATGGGTCCTTCCACTCTCAAGGGTGGATTAAGCACACGGTTCTGGAACAACTCATATAATACTCACTGGAGGATGTCAAAAAATCACAGGAAAGGGAAAACAATACACTCTAAAAACAAGCAAGTGAGGCTCAGCGGGGTCTCATAGATGTTTCTGGAAAAGAGAGGCACATGGACACTGATGCGTGTTAAATTGGAGAAAGACCCCAAGCACAAGGATAAAGTAACTCAGATTTTTATCAGTAGAGTGAGTGGAGAACGTATGTCATTCATCACAGTATTAAATGAACAATCACAGAGGAAAGACAAGATGAATTTTAACAATGCAACAACAATCCTGAGAAGAGTCATCACATCCAAAGACTGAATAAGCTCCAAGCACAAAAAAGAAAAAAACACACAAGTCTATAAAGTAAAACATGACATTTTGGAACAAGAAAATAAAACAAAAACAAGTACTCCCACAGAGTTAGGTAAATGTTTTAAAATAGAGACAAACTGTTAAAAATGGCAAATGACCAGCATTAGAAACATCAAGATGACACAAAAATGGAGGGCATGTTCATTGTTTTAGAAAAATGTTTCATGAAAACTAGAATTCTATACCCTGCCAAACTGTCACATAAGCATGCTGGGAGAGATGTCCCATTTTCAGACATTCAAGGAATCTTAAAATGCATGTCTTTGTGTCAACACATATGAAAAAGACTTGATCTTTCACCATGACATCATGACAATGGAAAAAACCCAGAGTACAGCTTCAAATCTGCCAGAGAGGCACCTGAGTGCTTCACAGTAAAACTGAAGAGATCAAAAGAGAAAGCCCGGATCCAGTGCATGTTGAGGTCTCATGCATCCTCCTTACCCAGGCCCAAGCAACTGAAGGGAACAGATAGCTCCTGAAACATACCCCTCTGTGCCAGCTGATTTGATAAGAAGTGTGCATTTTCCTTTGTGCTTATGCTTTAAAGTAACAAAGCTTATATTTTGCATCCAAACACAGAATTGATGGAAGCAGAATTCCTCCCTTTGGAGAAGTTTACATCTCTGAAACCTCCACTCAACAAGGCCTGGGTTCAAGCACTTTCTACAACTTCTCTGGAGCCCAAACAAGGAAAGATGAGGAAACAGAGTCCTGTAACCTACACACACGTTTAAATAGCAAAACTAATGGTAGAAGATAAACTAGCACTAATGAGGGACCTACATCCACCAGGACAAAACATAAACAAGGAAGAGAAGCTTGTGAAGTCTCGTGTGGGGCCAACACAAGTCAGGGGGTATAAATACTCAGCTACCCTGAGCACCCTCACTCACTCACTCACTCACTCATCATTCACTCACCCACTCACTCACTACCTTCCTCACGCTTTCCTAGCTCACCCCCAGCTCATACCCAGCATGGCCGCGTCCACCATGTCCATCTGCTCTAGCACTTGCACTGACCCTTGGCAAGTGGACGACTGTCCAGAGAGCTGCTGCGAGCCCCTCTGCTGTGCCCCCAGCAGCTGCACCCCAGGCCCATGCCTGAAGCTGGTCTGCACCCCAGTGACTTGTGTATCCAGCTCCTGCCAGTCAGACTGCCCCAGCTACTGCACACCTTTGTGCTGCCAGCAGTCCAGCTGCCAGCCAACTTTTCTCACCTCCTCTTCCTGCCAGCAGGCCTGCTGTGTGCCTGTCAGCTGCAAACCAGTCTGCTGTGATCCAGTCTGCTCTGGGGCTTCCTCTTTGGGCTTCCAGCAGTCTAACTGCCAGCCATCCTGCTCTACCTTCTCCTCCTGTCAGCAGCCCTGCTGCGTACCCATCTGCTGCAAGACCGTGTGCTACAAACCTGTCTGCTGTGTGCCCACCTGCTGTGTACCTGCCTACTCTGAGGCTTCCACTTCCTGCTGCCAGCAGTCCAGCTGCCAGCCTTCCTGCTGCACCTCCTCCCCCTGCCAGGAGTCCTGCTGCGTGACCATCTGCTACAAGCCCGTGTCCTGCAAACCCGCCTGCTGCAAGCTTGTGTGCTCTGGGTCTTCTTCTTCATGCTGCCAGCAGTCTAGCTGCCAGCCAATTTGCTGCCCCTCCTCCTGCTGCAGACGCTCCTCCTGCATATCTCTCCTCTGCCGCCCCATGTGCAGGCCCGCCTGCTGTGTGCCCATCCCTTCCTGTTGTGCCCCTGCCCCCTCTTGCTAACCCAGCTGCTGCCGCCCAGCGTCCTGCGTGTCCCTCTTCTGCCGCCCTGTGTGCTCCCACCCGGCCTGCTGAGTTCTCTCCTAGACTAGAGTTCCAGGCATTGAGAGTCCAGGAAGTCATCAGGGTCTCCTTCTGACATGGGAGCAACCTCTTAGCTTCCACAACAAGCCTCCCCCGCTGTGACAGTCACACCCTCAGAGGACAGACCAATCCCCTTGTCTCAGGGCCACAATCTCCCCCAAGTTCTTCCCTGAAGCTGGAGCCTGGGGACACTCCGGCTGCTCCCTCAGACCGCACTTTCTGCAGGATGAGTCCTGACCCCAGAAGGCCTAGTCCAACCCAGGCAGTATGCCCCGACTGAGTCCTAATAAAGTTGCTTCTGATCACACTGACCTTCTGTCCTGTCTGTGGACCCCTGAGATGGCAGGGTTGAAGCGGGAAGTGGTGCCACCTCTTTCCCCCTTTGTGAACCTCACAGACTGGAACCCTCATAGACCTGTGGGCACCCAGCTCCATCAAATGCTCCCAGGGCCCTTTCTGGGAGTCTGCCTCCAGGACCAAGTTGAGAGGTTTGGGGACCCAATAGAATTCCCTGGTGGCAACCGTGGGCCGCTGTGCCACATTCACCTGCCCCAGCTCCGTGGGTTCCCTGGAACTCAGTTATACACCAGGGCCTGGCCCCACCTAGTGACTTCACACACCTGTCACCCCCAGGAGTCCAGCCATGGACAGCAGGGTCCCTCCCTGAAGCCCAGCAAGGGGCCTTCCTCCAACCTTGCCTTCCCAGCTCCAGATGCCACAGACACACAAAAAAGTGAACACTATCAAATGTCCATCAGTTTTTGAATAGACAAATGACACAGAGTCTATCCTTTGGTGGAATGTTATTCAACCATGAAAGGACTGAAAGGCTGATGCAGGTCACGACATGGATGAACCTTGGAAGCAGCATACTCCTTGAAAGGTCACTGGTGTATTCACGTGAAAAGTCAGAACAGGAAAGCCAGAGACAGGAAGTGAGGGACAGCCAAAGGTAGGAGAGAGGATGGGAGTGATTGCAATGGGAATGATTTGTTGGGGGACTTTCTAAAATCACATGTTGATGATGGTTGAACAACTCGATGGAGATACTAAACACCAATGAATTCTCCATGGAAAGGGGTGGTTATGGCATGGGAATCATATCTCACAAAAGCTATAGAAAAAACTTGAGTCCTCAATTTGCATGGTGGCCCTGCCAATGCTTTTATCTGCCCTTCACCCAGATAAAAACCAAGGACTCGGGTTCAGTGAGAGAGATTGAGCCATGCTGCAGCCGACCAAATCATTAAGGAATTTCAGGTGCGCTTAAGATCAGGGTGAGCTTAAACTCCAACAGAGAGAAAGACAGGAAAAGACAGGATTGTGGAAACAGTGACTTTTCCCAGGCACTATGGCATAGGCAAGCCTGGCTATGGTGCTCAGGGGCTTTCCATGAGGGGGTCCCATTCTAGAGGAAAGCTACCCTGTGTCCAACAGGAGAAGACCAGGCAGGCCGGGTCGGAGGAAAGGAGGCAGAGGGGAGGAGGCAGCCTCCAGGAGGCTCTACAGGGTGACAAGGTAGCCAGCCCTTTGTCCATCAGGCCATGAACTAGCCTTCTCTACCTCAGAGGATGTGTGTTTAATGAACAATCTAGACCCACATTTAGATAAAGAAGAGCAACCAAGACTCTTCAACACGAAAGGGAATCAAAAGCACGAAAGAAAAGAAAACTGCCCAACACATGACAATGTACACTCCGAGGAGGTGAAGGGTGAGTCTTCTCTACAATAAGAAGAGGATGCCCTTAAACGGTAAGAAGCAGTAGGAAGGGAGGAATGAGAAAGAGGAGGTGGAGGAAAAGAAGAAAGAGAAACTTCGAGAGTTTTGGAGACTAAAAGGATGACACTCTACATAAAAAGAAACTCAGTAGACAGTCTACATAATCGACTGAGAAGGGGCTGAAGCTAAAATAGTGACAGAATGACCAAAAAGAGCAAGACCAAAAATGAAACTAAGAGGAGCCTGAGATCCGAGGAGGAGGAATCCAGGAGACCCAGCTCTGTGGTCCCAACTAGAATCCAGAAGAAGAGAACCCCAGGAATCAAAGGAAATCATCAAATATGAATAAAAATAGACACTCCAATGACATTGATACCAGGCAGTGGAAGCAATGCAATAATCCATGGTGGGAGGCAGTGGACTGGGGTTGGGAGACCTGGTGACATAAATGACCTACAAGGTGGAGAAAATAGGACCAGGGTCTCGAAAAACAAAGGGCATCAGAGGAAGTGTCAAACCTATTCAAATATGAGCCATGTCGGAGGTCCAGCATCCACAGAATGCAGAGCGGAAGCAACTTTGCAATGAGACTCCCTGTGCACCAGTCAGCAAAGGGTTGCTTTAAACAATACGCATGCAGAGTTTATCATGAAGCTTGTGCTCAGCAGTCTCCAACAAAATGAAACATTTTTCAAGTGGTCACAGAAAATCCACAGATACTCATCAAGGCACCTGTCCAGAAGAGATGACTGTAAACCCACAGGTAGATCCCAGGAGGGCATTGTGCGGGGACAACACTGCCAGTAACCATTGTTGTGATGTGGACATCATCCACTTGGAAAAATACAAGTCTATCCTACAGGCTTTTGTTTTGTGACACAAGTTACACTGGGTATTTTACATTACTTATACGAATAATGCTGACAACAGGCTATACCTAAACCAAGAATGTTTGGAAAAGTTTCCTAACAAAAATTTACATCCACAGATGTATGGGATACACAGCAAAATACAACAATCAACTCCACAAGCTAGAAGAAGATGCTAAAAATAAATTTTAAAGGGTAAAAGAAAAGTACATTTAAAATCTGTAAGTAAAATTAATAAACTATGAAACAAAGATTGGTCCTTTAAAAGTATCAATAAACTTTAAAAGCTATGGAAAATATAATACAAATAAATAAACTTGAACAATAAAAAAGAAATAGGCTCACTCATCCAGAGACTGCTGTTTTTAAGTATAACGAACTAATATGGGTATATTCACCATTATAATTTGAAATTGTAAATGAAATGTACCAAGTTCTAAAAGATATAAACTGCCTACAATGACAACATGAAAATTTGAATGCAATGATGTCCAAGAAACATTGAAAGGGTATTTAAAGTCAGGCTCGGTGGCTCAGCCTGTAATCTCACGCCTTTGGGAGGCTGAGGTGAGTGGATTGCCTGAGCCTGTGGGTTTGAGACCCACCTGGGCAGCGAGACCTCATCTCTACAATAAATCAAAAAATCAGTCAGGTATGGTAGCGCATGCCTGTAGTTCCGGCTACTTGGAAGGCTGAGGCAGAAGGATCGCCGGAGCCCAGCAGGTCGAGGCTGCGGTGGCCGGGAGCGGCCATTGCACTCAGTCTGGGCGACAGAGTGAGATTCCAACTCAAAAATTAAAAAAAGGGTATTTAAAGATCCTATTCTTCAAAAGGCACCAATTTAGATGATTTTAAAGGTGTATACACCAGCCTTCAACGTAAAGATCTTTCCTGTGATAGTCAAAACACTGAGGCTTAGAGTATATCAGAAGTCTTCTAAATTCATCTAATAACACTGGCAAACCCTGATGCCAAAACCAGAAATGAGAGAGATGGGAAGGGAAAGAGCAAAGAAAGTAGGGGGGTTGGGTGGGGGGGAGGGAGGATGGGAGGGAGCGAGGCACAGAGGCTGGCACAGGGAAGTGAAGGAGATAAATTACATTAAAGAAAAGTAAACCAACACATGTTTGTTGCAGCTCTATTCACAATAGCAAAAGCATGGAACCAACCATGTTGCCCATTGAAACTGGACTGGATAAAGAAAATGTGTCGCATACACACAATGGAATATTATGCAGCCATAAAGAAGCACAAATATATGGACTTCACAGCAACTTGGATGGATTTGGAGTCAATTATTCTCAGTGATCTATCACAGAAACAAAGAACAGAGTACCATATGTTCTCACTCATAAGTGGACCTTGAACAATTATACTATAAGAAAGCATTTGGCAGTAATGGGAAATTGTCGGGGGGGGTGGGATTGGCAATTGAGGGAAACTGCTAGAAGAAGGAGGGGCATACCTCATCAACAAGGGTGTCTGCATAATCAATGTTTGTATACCAAACTCGAATTGTACCCCATATCTTTATATTCAAAAAGCTAAAAAATTTTTAAAAAGAAAAGCAAAGCATTATTATGACCATTAGGGAAAAAAATATGAAGATATTAAAAAAAAAAAACTAAAAATAGAACCATCCTATGATCCAGAAATCCCTTTTCTGGGTATTTATCCAATGGAAAAGAAATCAGTCTGTGGAAGAGATAACTACATCCCTGTGTTCATTGCAGCACTAGTGACAATAACCAAGCTATGGAATCAACCTAAGTGTCCACCAATAAATGGATGGATGAAGAAATTGTGAGCTATATACAGGGTGGAAACTTTTTTTTAGCTTAGTGTAGTTTAGTTTGGTTTAGTTTAGAATATCAATTTATTTTATCATTTTTAAAAGCAGAATTTACTAAGAGAACAGAAAAGCTCCCACAGTGGGAGGAGACCCAAGGGGGTGCCCACAAGTAGAATAATATTCAGTCATAAACAAGAATGAAATCTTGTCATTTGAGGCAACATGAATGGAATAGAAGATATTAGGGTGAGTGAAATGAACCAGGAACACAGAGAAAAACACTGCACCACCACACTGACATGTAGAATGAAAAAAGTCAAGGCCATAAAAACAGAGCATGGAATGGCTTTTATCCCAGTCTGGGGTGGAGAGAATGGAGAGATGTTGAGGAAAGGGTACAAACCTTCAGTTACGCCGGATGGCTAAGTTCTAGAAATGTAAGGAACCACACGGTGAGTTTGCTACAGTACAGTATAAAGCAGGATAATACTGTATTGTATTCTGCAAATTAGCTAATAATACAGCTTACGTGTTCACACCACAAAAGAAAAAGCAACTATGTGAAGTGGTATGTATGTTAATTAGCTTGATGGTGGTGATCATTTCACAACATATATGTCACCAAACCATCATACTGTATACCTTAGAATTCTATAATCTGATTTTTCAACGATACCTCCATAAAGCTAGGGGAAATAATTATAAGCCATTATCAAGTTGATATGGATCTCACAATAAAAGTCAGAAAATGATATCATCTACTCCACTAATACACAGAAGCAAGAAAGCCATTGAACTCTTAATAGATTAGTATACAGACACATCCATCAATCAACTCATTCTTTCCTTAAAATCTCAAGGCAAGTCTACATTCCTGGTGACCTTGCTAGAAAGAAGCTGCCCACACAAGGTCAAGAACGTGTTATAAACCATTCACTCCAGCTCAACTTGTTCCACAGAAGGCAATTCTGTCACCTCAGATATAAGTCCAGAGGTGCCATTGTACCCTCATCCAGTGCTGAGCAGGACTCACAGCCCACGAGGAAAGAGAGTAAAATAAAGTGAAAGCCCACATTGTAAAAAGGAAGAAATAAAGCACAAGTCACTTGCAGAGGACTTGGCATCCGACCACCCTCTGCACCAGGTTGCATCACCTTCTGGGCCCTTTGCTCACTAAGCCAGAGCCCGTTCATCTCCACATATCCACTCTCCATCAGAAGCCAGAGAGATTTTGCTTGTTTTCAAACATCACTGGATCATGTGATCATCAGAGGCCCTACCTTACCAGCTCCCAACGAAAGCTACATGATCAAAAGTCCCCAGTGACGGTGGGGCCTAGATGAGGATCTGGCCCTGAGGCCCTTGAGTAGTCATGGGTCCAGCAATAACCACGGAGAACACTCTGGCCATGGAGGAGAGAGTTACAGAGGTGACAAATCACAGCTGAGAAATGAGAGGAGGAAGTAACCACACCCATTCCATGAAGGGGATCCTGGGGACAGCAGTGGGAAAAGTAAAGAAAGCTATTATATGAGCCCCACAGATTGTCCCAGGAGACACCATCAGGTTTCCCACATCCACGACCTCAGAACAACATCCCCAACTCAGGTCCCACTCACAAAAAAACACACCTTCCAGGAGCCACTAAAAGGCACAGCTTTCTATAGCTAGGAGAGAAACAAGTCAGAATCCATAAATTCTATGGCTGACCACCAGCCACTGCCCTCTTTCAGAGGTCACTTAGCTCCCCTTAGCACTTCTACATCTGTATAATGGGCTCTAACTTGCCCCTCAAAGCATTTATGATCTGCAGAAGCCACACTTGGCCATGCAAGTCTCTCATCCAAGGCAGACCAACATATCTATGGTTTCCTTAATGCAACCACAGGTCCTTCTGCTCTAAAGGGTGAATTAGCACACAGTTCTGGAACAACTGCTATAATACTCACTGGAGGATATTAAAAAATTATAGGAAAAGGAAAACAATACACTCTAAAAACAAGCAAGGGAGGCTCAGCAGGGTCCTATATATGTTTCTGGAAAAGAGAGGCACATGGAAACTGAGGCGGATTACATTGGAGAAAGACCCCAAGCACAAGGATAAAGTAACTCAAATTTTCATCAGTAGAGTGAGTGGAGAACGTATGTCATTCACCACAGTATTAAATCAACAATCACAGAGGAAAGACAAGATGAATTTTAAGAATGTAACAACACTCCTGAGATGAGTCTTCATGTCCAAGGCTGAATGCAATCCAAACACAAAAAGTAAAGAAACACATAAGCCTAGAATGTAAAACATGATATTTTGTAACAAGAAATCAAAACAAAAGACAAGCACTCCAACAGAGTTAAATAAATGTTTTAAAATAGAGACAAACAGTTAAAAAGGGCAAATGACCAGCATCATAAATACCAAGATCACACAAAACTAGAGCATTTTCGAAAAATGCTTCATTAAAACCAGAATTCTATACCCAGCCAAACTGTCACATAAGTGTGCTGAGAGAGACGTCCCATTTTCAGATATTCAAGGACTCTTAAAATGCATGTCTTTGTGTCACCACATATGAAAAAGACCTGATCTTTCACCATGACATCATGACAATTTAAAAAACTGAATACAGCTTCAAATTTGCCAAGAGAGGCACCTGAGTGCATCACAATACAACTGAAAAGATCAAAAGAGAAAGCTCGAATCCAGCACATGTTGAGGCCTCTTGCATCCTCCTTAACCAGGTCCAAAAAACTGAAGGGAACAGGTGGCTCCTGTTACCGACCCATCTGTGCCAGCTGATTTTACAAGAAGTACATATTTTGCTTTGTGTTTATGTTTTAAAGTAACAAAGCTTGTATTTTGCATCCAAACACAGAATTGATGGAAGCAGAATTCCTCCCTTTGGAGAAGTTTTCATTTCTGAAACCTCCACTCAACAAGGGCTGGCCTCAAGTACTTTCTACAACTCCTCTGAGGCCAAAACAAGGAGAGATGAGGAAACAGAGTCCTGTAACCTACACACAAGTTTAAGGAGCAAAACTAATGGTAGATGATAAACTAGCACTAATGAGGGACCTGCAACCACCAGCACAAAACAACAACAAGGAAGAGAAGCTTGTGGAGGCTCATGTGGGACCAACACAAGTCAGGGGGTATAAATGCTCAGCTACTCTGAGCACCCTCACTCACTCACTCACTCACTCACTCATCACTCACTCACTCACCCACTCACTCCCTCCCTCCCTCACTCTTTTCCAGCTCACCCCCAGCTCATCCCCAGCATGGCCGCGTCCACCATGTCTGTCTGCTCCAGCACTTGCACTGACCCTTGGCAGGTAGACGACTGTCCAGAGAGCTGCTGTGAGCCAACCTGCTGTGCCCCCGGTTGCTGCACAACAGCTCCATGCCTGAAGCTGGTCTGCACCCCAGTGAGCTGTGTATCCAGCCCCTGCCAGTCAGGCTGTCCCAGCTACTGCACACCTTTGTGCTGCCAGCAGTCCAGCTGCCAGCTGGCTTTCCTCGCCTCCTCTTCCTGCCAGCAGCCCTGTTGCATACCCATCTGCTGCAAGCCCGTGTGCTGCAAACCTGTCTGCTGTGTGCCCGCCTGCTGTGTGCCCGCCTGTCCTGAGGCTGCCTCTTTGTGCTACCAGCAGTCCAGCTGCCAGCCTTCCTGCTGCACCTCCTCCCCCTGCCAGGAGTCCTGCTGCGTTGCCGTCTCCTGCAAACCCGTGTCCTGCAAACCCGCCTGCAGCAAGCCTGTGTGCTCCGGGTCTTCTTCGTCGTGCTGCCAGCAGTCTAGCTGCCAGCCAACTTGCTGCCCCTCTTCCTGCTGCAGACCCTCCTCCTGCATGTCCCTCCTCTGTCGCCCTGTGTGCAGGCCTGCCTGCTGTGTGTCCATTCCTTCCTGCTGTGCCCCTGCCTCCTCTTGTCAACCCAGCTGCTGCCGCCCGGCTTCCTGTGTGTCCCTCCTCTGCCGCCCTGTGTGTTCCCACCTGGCCTGCTGAGGCCTCTCCCTAGACTAGTGTTCCAGGCATTGAGAGTCCAGGAAGTCATCAGGGTCTCCTTCTGACATGGGAGTGACCTCTTAGCTTCCCCAACAAGCCCCACCCTCTGTGACATTCACACCCTCAGAGGACAGGCCAATCCCCTTGTCTCATGGCCTGAATGCCCCCAATGTCTTTCCTGAAACTGGGGCCTGGGAACACCCCAGTAGCTCCCTTAGACCACCCTTTTCACAGGTTGAGTCCTGACCACAGCAGGCCTAGTCCAACCCAGGCAGTGTGCCCCGTCTGAATCCTAATAAAGTTGTTGCTGATCACACTGACCTTCTGTCGTATTTGTGGGCCCCTGAGATGGCAGGGTTGAAGCGGGAAGTGGTGCCACCTCTTTCCCCCTCTGTGAAACTCACAGACTGGAACCCTCATAGACCTGTGGGCACCCAGCTCCATCACATGTTCCCAGGGCCCTTTCTGGGAGTTTGCCTCCAGGACCAAGATCAGATTTGGAGGACCCCATAGCATCCCCTGGCAGCACCTGTTGGCCCCTGTGCCACATTCACCTGCTCCAGCTCTGTGGGTTCCCTGGGACTCAGGCACCCATGAGGGCCTGGTCCCACCTAGTGGCCTCACACACCTGTGACCCCCAGGAGATCAGCCATGGACAGCAGGGCTCCTGCCTGAAGCTCAGCAAGGAGCCTTCCTCCAGCCTTCCCTTCCCAGGTCCAGGTGCCACAGATATAACAAAAAGTGGATACTCCCAAGTATCCATCAATTTTTGAATGGACAAATGACACAGAGTCTATCCATCGGTGGAATGTTATTCAACTATGAATGGAGTGAAATGCTGATGCAAGTCACAGCACGGATGAACCTTGGAAGCAGCATACTCCGTGAAAGGTCACTGGTGTATTCATGTGGAAAGTCAGAACAGGAAAGCCAGAGACAGGAAGTGATGGGACAGCCAAAGGCAGGAGAGAGGATGGGAGTGACTGCAATGGGGATGATTTGTTGGGGGACTTTCTAAAATCAATGTTGATGGTGCTTGAACAACTCGATGGAGACACTAAACACCAATGAATTCTGCACGGAAGGGGGTGGTTATGGCATTGGATCATATCTCACAAAAGCTATAGGAAAAATCTTCAGGCCTCAATTTGCATGGTGGCCCTTGCCAACACTTTTATCTCCCAATCACCCATATAAAAATCAAGGACTCGGGTTCAGTGAGAGAGACTGTGGCATGCTGCATCTGACCAATTCATTAAGGAGTTTCAGGTGAGCTTAAGATCAGGGTGAGCTTAAACTCCAACAGTGAGAAAGACAGGACTGTGGAAACAGGGGCTTTTCCCAGGGACCATGGCAATAGGGCCGGAACACAAGTTATGGTGCTCAGGGGCCTTTCCATGAGGGGGCCCCGTTCTGGAGGAGAGCCACCCAGGTCCTGTGTCCAACAGGAGAAGATCAGGCAGGCCGGGTCAGAGGAAAGGAGGCAGAGGGGAGGAGGCAGCCTCCAGGAGGCTCTACGGGGTAACAAGGTAGCCAGCCCTTTGTCCATCAGGCCGTGAACTAGCCTTCTCTACCTCAGAGGATGTGTGTTCACTGAACAATCTAGACCCACATTTAAATAAAGAATAGCAACCAAGACTCTTCAACACGTAAGGGGATCAAAAGCATGAAAGAAAAGAAACATGCCGAACACATGACAATGCTCACTCCGAGGAGGTGAAGAACAAGTCTTCTCTGAAATAAGAAGAGGATGCCCTTAAACCGGTAAGAGGCAGTAGGAAGGGAAGAATGCGAAGGAGGAGGTGGAGGAAAAGAAGAAAGGGAAACTTCCAGAATTCCTGGACACTAAAAGGTTGACACTCTTCATAAAAAGAAGCTCAGTAGACAGTCTACATAATCGACTGAGATGGGGCTGAAGCTAAAATGGTGACCGTTGGGTCAGGGACAGAATAACCAAAAACAGCAAGACCAAAAATGAAACTAAGAAGAGCCTGAGACCTGAGGAGGATGAATTCAGCAGACCCAGGATCTGTGATCCCAACCAGAGCACAGAAGAAGAGAATTCCAGGAACCAAAGAAAATCATCAAACATGAATAAGAATAGATGCTCCCATGACATCAATACCAGGCAGTGGGGGCATGGTGATAATTCAGAGGGCTGGGAGGTACTACACAGGTGGCCTGGTGGCTTAAATGACCTACAAGGAGGAGAAAACAGGACGAGGGTCTAGAAAAACAAAAGGACATCAGAGGAAGCATCAAACCTACTTAAATATGAGCCACGCTGAGTGCCAGCATCCACCAAACGCAGAGGGGAAGCAACTTTGCTATTGTTTAAAGCAACATACCCCTGTGCACCAGCCAGCGGAGTTGCTTTAAACAATAGGAATGCAGAAAATTTATCATGAAGCTTGTGCTCAGCAGTCTCTAACAAAATGAAACACTTTTCACGTGATCACAGAAAATTCACAGATACACATCAAGGCCCCTGTTCAGAAGAGAGGCCTGTAAACCCACAGGTAGACCCCAGCAGGGCATTGTGCAGAGACAACACAGCCAGTAATTGTTGCTCTGATGTGGACATCACCGACTTGTAAAAGTACAAGTCTATCCTACAGGCTTTTGTTTCGTGGCACAAGTTACACTGGGTATTTTACACTACTTATACGTATAATGCTGAATACAGGGTATACCTAAACCAAGAAGGTTTGGAAAAGTTTCCTAACAAAAATTTACATCCACAGACATATGGGATACACAGCAAAATAATGCAGTCAACAAAACAAGCAAGAAGAAGATGCTAAAAATAAATTTAAAAGGATAAAAGGAAAGAACATTTAAAAATTTGTAAGTAAAATTAATAAACAATGAAACAAAGACTGATCCTTTAAAAGTATCAATAAATTCTAAAAGCTATGGAAAAATCTAATACAAATAAATAAGTTTGAACGATAAAAAATAAATAGGCTCACTCATCCAGAGACTGCTGTTTTTAAGAATAATGAACTAATATGGGTATATTCAACCTACAATTTGAAACTGTAAATGAAATGTACCAAGTTCTAAAAAATATAAACTGCCTACAATGATGACATGAAAATTTGAATGCAATGATGTCCAAGAAACATTGAAAGGGTATTTAAAGATCCTATTCTTCAAAAGGCACCAATTTAGATGGTTTTAAAGGTGTATACACCAGCCTTCAACGTAAAGATCTTTCCTGTGATAGTCAAAACAATGAGGCTTAGAGTATATCAGAAGTCTTCTAAATTCATCTAATAACACTGGCAAACCCTGATGCCAAAACCAGAAATGAGAGAGATGGGAAGGGAAAGAGCAAAGAAAGTAGGGGGGTTGGGTAGGGGGGAGGGAGGATGGGAGGGAGTGAGGCACAGAGGGTGGCACAGAGGAGTGAAGGAGATAAATTACATTAAAGAAAAGTAAACCAACATATGTTTGTTGCAGCTCTATTCACAATAGCAAAAACATGGAACCAACCATGTTGCCCATTGAAGCTGGACTGGATAAATAACATGTGTTGCAAACACACAATGGAATATTATGCAGCCATAAAGAAGGACAAATATATGGACTTCGCAGCAACTTGGATGGATTTGGAGTCGATCATTCTCAGTGATCTATCATAGAAACAAAGAACAGAGTACCATATGTTCTCACTCATAAGTGGACCTTGAACAATTATAATATAAGAAAGCATTTGGCAGTAATGGGAAAGTGTCAGGGGAAGGGGGGTGGGATTGGCAGTTGAGGGAAACTGCTAGGAGAGGGAGGGGCATGCCTCATCAACAAGGGTATCTGCATAATCAATGTTTGTATACCAACCTCGAATTGTACCCCATATCTCTATATTTAAAAAGCTAAAAAAATTTTAAAAAGAAAAGCAAAGCATTATTATGACCATTAGTGAAAAAAATATGAAGATACTAACAAAAAACTAAAAATAGAACCATCCTATGATCCAGAAATCCCTTTTCTGGGTATTTATCCAACAGAAAAGAAATCAGTCTGTGGAAGAGATAACTACATCCCTGTGTTCATTGCAGCACTAGTGACAAAAGCTAAGCTGTGGAATCAACCCAAGTGTCCACCAATAAATGAATGCATGAAGAAAATGTTACCTATCTACCCAGTAGAATACTTATTTTGTTTTATTTTAGTTTAGTTTGTTTCGTGTATATTTTATTTAATTTATTATCTTAAAAAGCAGGATTTATTAAGAGGACAGAAAGGATCCCACAGTGGGAGAAGAACTGAGGGGGATGCCCACAAGTGGAATACGATTCAGTCACAAGCAAGAATGAAATCTTGTCATTTGAGCAACATGAATGGAATAGAGGATATTAGGGTGAGTGAAATGAACCAGCCACCGAGAGAAAAACACTGCGCAACCACACTGACATGTAGAATGAAAAAAGTCAAAGCCATAAAAGCAGAGCATGGAATGGTGTCTATCCCAGACTGGGGCGAGACAAGGGAGAGATGTTGAGGAAAGGGTACAAACCTTGGCTAAATTCTGGAAATATAAGGAACCACACAGTGAGTTTACTGCAATACAGTATACATCAGAATAATACTGTATTGCAATCTGCAAATCTGCTAGCAGTAGAGTTTATGTGTTCTCACCACAAAAGAAAAAGCAACTATGTGAAGTGGTGTGTATGTTAATTACCTTGATGGTGGTGATTATTTCACAACGTATATGTCACCAAACCATCATATTGTACACCTTAGAGTTCTATAATCTGATTTTTAAAATTATACCTCCATAAAGCTAGGGGAAATAATTACAAGCAATAATCAAGTATATGTGGATCTCAGAATGAAAGTCAGAAAATGATATCATCTACTCCACTAATAATAGAAGCAGAAAAGCCATTAAACTCTCAATAGATTAGTACACAGATCAACTCATTCTTTCCTTAAAAGCTCATGGCAAGGCAACATTCCTGGTGACCTCATAGAAAGAAGCTGCTATCAAGACCGTGCTATCAACTAGTGACTACCAGCTCAGCATGAGCTGAAGAAGTTGCTTTTGTCACCTCAGACACAAGACCAGAGGTACCTTCGTAGCCTCATCCATTGCTGAACAGGGTTCACAGCCCATGCAGGAAGAGAGTAAAATAAAGTGAAAGCCCACATTGTGGAAAGGAAGAAATAAACACAAGTCACTTGCAGAGGACGTGACATCCGGCCACCCTCCGCACCAGGCTTGCATCTCCTTTTGGGCCCTTTGCCCACTAGGCCAGAGCCTGTTCATTTCCACACATCCACTCTACATCAGAAGTCAGAGAGCTTTTGCTTGTTTTCAAACATCTCATAGGATCATATGATCATCAGAGGCCCTACCTTACCACCTCCCAACAAAAGTTACATGATCCAAAAGTAATTTTTCCCAGTGAAGGTGGGTCCTAGATGTGGATCTGGCCCTGAGGCCCTTGATGAGTCATGGGTTCAGCAATAACCATGGAGAGCACTCTGGCCATGGAGGAGGGAGTTACAGAGGTGATGGGTCACAGTTGAGAAATGAGAGGAGGAAGTAACCACGTCCTTTCCATTAAGGTGATCCCAGAGACAGCAGTGGGAAAAGTAAAGAAATCTATTATACAGGCCCCAGAGATTGTCCCAGGAGACACCATCAGGCTTCCCACATCCCACTGACCTCGGGACAACATCCCCAACTCGTGTCCCACTCACAAAACACACACCTTCCTGGGATCCACAAAAAAAGCACAGACCTCTACAGTCAGGAGAGAAACAAGTCAGAATCCATGTATTCTCAGGTTGACCACTAGCCGCATCCCACTTTCAGAGGTCACTTAGCTCCCCTCAGCATCTGAATGATTGGCTCTAACTTGCCCCTCACAGTGTGTCTGATCTGCAGAAATCACACTTGGCCATGCATGTCTGTCATCCAAGGTAGACCAACATTCCTGTGGCTTCCATAAAGCACAGGAGTGGGTCCTTCCACTCTCAAGGGTAGATTAAGCACATGGTTCTGGAACAACTCCTATAATACTAACTGAAAATGTTAAAAAAAAAATTATAGGAAAAGGATAAAAAATACACTCTAAAAACAAGCAAGAGAGGGTCAGCAGGGCCCCATATATGTCTTTGGAAATCTTATGTGTGTTAAATTGGAGAAAGATCCCAAGCACAAGGATAAAGTAACTCAGATTTTCATCAGTAGAGTGAGTGTGTATGTCATTCATCACAGTATTAAATAAAAAAATCACAGAGGAAAGACAAGATGAATTTTAAGAATGCAACGTCACTTGTGAGAAGAGCCATCACATCCAAAGGCTGAATGTGCTCCAAACATAAAAAGTAAAGAAACACTCAAGTCTATAAAGTAAAACATGACATATTGAAACAAGAAAACAAAACAAAAAATAAGCACAGCCAGAGTTAGATTAATGTTTTAAAATAGAGACAAACTATTAAAAAGGGCAAATGACCAGTATCAGCAACATCAAGATGACACAAAAATGGAGGGCATGTTCATTGTTTTAGAAAAATGTTTCATTAAAACCAGAATTCTATACCTAACCAAACTGCCATACAAGTGAGCTGGGAGAGCTGACACATTTTCAGACATTCAAGGAATCTTTTTTTTGTTTTGTTTTTTGTTTTTTATTTTAATCAATATTTTTTATTATGATTTTGTGGGGTACAGTTAAGGGTTAGGTGTACAATTACGTTTCATTCAGGCACCCTGTTGATAAGAGGTGTTTCCATTCCCAGACAGATATTTGCGACTGTTAATCCCATCCCCTCCCCCGCCATAGTTTCCCAGTACCATCAGTCATTCTTATAGTATTACATTGGATGTTCAAGGTCCATTATATGAGTGAGAATATGTGATACTCAGATCTTTGTTTCTGTGAGAGGTCACTCAGTATTATAGACTCTAGTTTCATCCAGGTTGCTGTGAAATTCATGATTTTGTTCTTTGTTATGGCTGCATAGTATTCCATCAAGGAATCTTAAAATGGATGTCTTCATGTCACCACATATGAAAAAGACTTGATTTTTCATCATGACATCATGACAATGGAAAAAACCCAGAGTACAGCTTCAAATCTGCTAAGAGAGGCACCTGAGTGGATCACAGTAGAGCTGAAGAGACCAAAAGAGAAAGCCTGGATCCAGTGCATGTTGAGGTCTCATGCATCCGCCTTACCCAGGCCCAAGCAACAGAAGGGAGCAGGTGGTTCCTGTTACCTACAACTCTGTGCCAGCTGATTTAACAAGAAGTGAGCATTTTCCTTTATGCTTATGTTTTAAAGTAACAAAGCTTATATTTTGCATCCAAACACAATTGATGGAAGCAGAATTCCTCCCTTTGGAGAAGTTTTCATCTCTGAAACCTCCACTCAACAAGGCCTGGCCTTAAGTAATTCTACAACTCCTCTGAAGTCAAAACAAGGAGAGATGAGGAAACAGAGTCCTGAAACCTACACACAAGTTTAAGGAGCTAAACTAATGGTAGTGATAAACTACCACTAATGAGGGACCAGGAGCTGCCAGTGCAAAACATCAACAAGGAAGAAAAGCTTGTGTATTCTCATTTGGGGTCAATACAAATCAGGGGGTATAAATACTCAACTACCCTGAGCACCCTCACTCACAAACTCACTCACTCACTCACTCACTCACTCACTCACTCACTCCCTCCCTCCCAGCTCATCCCCAGTTCATCCCCAGGATGGCCGCGTCCACCATGTCTGTCTGCTCCAGCACATGCACTGACCCTTGGCAGGTGGATGACTGTCTAGAGAGCTGCTGCGAGCCCCCCTGCTGTGCCCCCAGCTGCTGCACCCCAGGCCCCTGCCTGAAGCTGGTCTGCACCCCAGTGAGCTGTGTATCCAGCTCCTGCCAGCCAGACTGCCCCAGCTACTGCACACCTTTGTGCTGCCAGCAGTCCAGCTGCCAGCTGCCTTTCCTCACCTCCTCTTCCTGCCAGCAGGCCTGCTGTGTGCCTGTCACCTGCAAGCCTGTCTGCTGTGATCCAGTCTGCTCTGGGGCTTCCTCTTTGGGCTTCCAGCAGTCTAACTGCCAGCCTTCCTGCTGCACCTCTTCCCCCTGCCAGCAGCCCTGCTGCGTACCCATCTGCTACAAGCCCATGTGCTGCAAACCTGTCTGCTGTGTGCCCACCAGCTGTGTACCTGCCTGCTCTGAGGCTACCTCTTCGTGCTGCCAGCAGTCCAGCTGCCAGCCTTCCTGCTGCACCTCCTCCCCCTGCCAGGAGTCCTGCTGCGTGGCCATCTGCTACAAGCCCGTGTCCTGCAAACCGGCCTGCTGCAAGCCTGTGTGCTCTGGGTCTTCCTCTTCATGCTGCCAGAAGTCTAGCTGCCAGCCAATTTGCTGCCCTTCCTCCTGCTACAGACGCTCCTCCTGTGTGTCCCTCCTCTGCCGCCCCGTGTGCAGGCCCGCCTGCTGAGTGCCTGTCCCCTCCTCTTGCTAGCCCAATTGCTGCTGTTCAGCCTCCTACGTGTCCCTCCTCTGCTGCCCTGTTTGCTCCCACCCACCCTGCTGAAGCCTCTCTCTAGACTAGAGTTCCAGTGGTTGAGAGCTCCGGAAGTATCAGGGTCTCCTCCTGACCTGGGAGTGACCTCTTACCTTCCCCAGCAAGCTCCACCCTCTGTGACATGCACACTCTCAGAGGAGAGGCCAGACTTATTGTTCAGGGCCCATGATGTCCCCCTCCCAACCCCTGTAAGTTCTTCCCTGAAGCTGGTGCCTGGGGACACTCACCTGATCCCTCAGACCACACTTTTCACAGGATGAGTCCAGATCCCACCAGGCCTGGTCCAATCCAGGCAGTATGCCCTGAGTCCTAATAAAGTTGCTGCTGATCATACTGACCTTTTGTCCTGTCTGTGGACCCCTGAGCTGGCAGGGTTGAAACAGGAAGTGGTGCCACCTCGTGCCCCCTCTGTGAACCTCACAGACCGGAACCCTCATAGACCTGTGGGCACCCAGCTCCATCACATGCTCCCAGGGCCCTTTCTGGGAATCTGCCTCCAGAACCAAGTTCAGAGGTTAAGGGACCCAACAGACTCCCCTGGCAGCACCTGTGGGCCCCTGTGCCACATTCACCTGCCCCAGCTCCGTGGGTTCTCTGGGACTCGGGTACCCACCAGGGCCTGGTCCCACCTAGCGGCCTCACACACCTGTCAGCTCCAGGAGATCAGCCATAGACAGCAGGGCTCTTCCCTGAAGCCCAGAAAGAGGCCTTGTCTATCATTCCCTTCCCAGGTCCAGGTGCCACAGACACAACAAAAAGTGAACACTCCCAAACGTCCATCAATTTTTGAATGGAAAAATGACACAGGGTCTATCCTTCGGTGGAATGTTATTCAACCATGAAAGGACTGAAAGGCTGATGGAGGCCACAACACAGATGAACCTTGGAAGCAGCATACTCCATGAAAGGTCTTTGGTGTACTCATGTGGAAAGTCAGAACAGGAAAGCCAGAGACAGGAAGTGATGGGACGGCCAGAGGTAGGAGAGGGGATGGGAGTGACTGCAATGTGGATGATTTGTTGGGGAACTTTCTAAAATCAATGTTGATGGTACTTGAACAACTCGATGGAGACACTAAACACCAATGAATTCTGCACAGAAGGGAGTGGTTATGGCATGGGAATCATATCTCACAAAAGCTACATAAAAAAAACTTGAGGCCTCAATTTGCACAGTAGCCCTGCCAACACTTTTATCTCCCCTTCATCCAGATAAACCCAAGGTCTCATGTTCAGTGAGAGAGACTGTGGCATGCTGCAGCCGACCAAATCATTAAGTAGTTTCAGGTGAGCTCAAGATCAAGGTGAACTTAAGCTCCAACAGAAAGACAGGTAAAGACCGCACTGTGGAAACAGTGACTTTTCCTAGGCACTATGGCAATAGGGGTGGCAAACAAGCCTGGCTATGGTGCTCAGGGTCTTTTCCATGAGGGGGCCCCGTTCTGGAGGAGAGCCACCCAGGTCCTGTGTCCAACAGGAGAAGAACAGGCAGGCCTGGTCAGAGTAGAGGAGGCAGAGGGGAGGAGGCAGTCTCCAGGAGGCTCTACGGGGTGACAAGGTAGCCAGCCCTTTGTCCATCAGGCCATAAACTAGCCTTCTCTGCCTCAGAGGATGTGTGTTCACTGAACAATCTAGACCCACATTTAAATAAAGAATAGCAACCAAGACTCTTCAAAAGCATGAAAGAAAAGAAAAATGCTGAACACATGACAATGAACACTCTGAGAAGGTGAAGAACAAGTCTTCTCTAAAATAAGAAGAGGATGCCCTTAAACCAGTAAGAGGCAGTAGGAAGGGAAGAATGCGAAGGAGGAGGCGAAGGAAAAGAAGAAACGGAAACTTCCAGCATTCCTGGACACTAAAAGGATGACACTCTTCATAAAAGGAAATTCTTTAGACAGTCTTCTAAATTCATCGAATAACACTGGCAAACCCTGATGCCAAAACCAGAAATGAGAAAGATGGGAAGGGAAAGAGGAAAGGAGGCGGGGCCGGGGGGTGGGGTGGAAGGGAGGGAGGGCAGCACTGAGGGAGGCATGGGGAAGGGAGGGAGAGAAACTACATTAAAAGAAAAGTAAACCAATGTATATTTGTTGCAGCTCTGTGAGACACTAAACACCAATGAATCCTGCTTGGAAGGGAGTGGTTATGGCATGGGAATCATATGTCACAAAAGCTATAGAAAAAAACTTCAGGCCTCAGTTTGCATGGTGGTCCAACCAACGCTTTTATCTCCCCTTCATTCAGATAAATCCCAAGGCTCGGGAGCAGTGAGAGAGACTGAGTCATGCTGCAACCAACCAAATCATTAAGGAGTTTCAGGTGAGCTTGAGATCAGGGTTAGCTTAAGCTCCAACACAGAGAAAGACAGGTAAAGACAAGACTGTGGAAACAGTGGCTTTTTCCAGGGACCATGGCAATGGGGGGGGGCACACAAGTCTGGCTATGGTGCTCAGGGGCCTTTCCACAAGGGGGTCCCATTCTGGAGAAAAACCACCCAGGCCCTGTATTCAACACAAGAAGAGCATGCGAAGCAGGTCAGAGGGGAGGAGGCAGAGGGGTAGAGGCAGCCTTCAGGAAGCTCTACAGGTGACAAGGTAGCCAGCTCTTTGTCCATCCTCTGTGAACCAGCCTTCTCTACCTCGAGGATATGTGTTTAATGAACAATCTAGACCCACATTTAAATAAAGAATAGCAACCAAGACTCTTCACCACATAAGGAAATCAAAGGCACGAAAGAAAAGAAAATGCTGAACACATGACAATGCACACTTTGAGGAGGTGAAGAGTGAGTCTTCTCTAAAATAAGAAGAGGATGCCCTTAAACCAGTAAGAGGCGGCAGGAAGGGAGGGATGAGAAGGAGGAAGGGGAGGAAAAGAAGAAAGAGAAACTTCCAGAGTTTCTGGACACTAAAAGGATGACACTCTTCATAAAAAGAAACTCAGTAGACAGTCTACATAATCAGCTGAGAATGGGCTGAAGCTAAAATGGTGACCGTTGGGCCAGGGACAGAATGACCAAAACACAGCAGGGCCAAAAATGAACCTGAGAAGAGCCTGAGACCCCAACAGGATGAATCCAGGAGACCCAGGCTCTGTGATCCCAACCAGAGCACAGAAAAAGAGAACCCCAGGGACCAAAGGAAATCATCAAGTAGGAATAAGAATAGACACTCCCATGACTTTGATATCAGGCAGTGAAAGCATCGCAATAATCCTGGGGTTTGGGGGAAGTAGGGCTTGGCAGGGGGCCTGGTGACTTGAATGACCTACCTGGAGGAGAAAATAGGACCAGGGTCTAGAAAAACAAAAGGGCATCAGACGAAGCAGCAAACCTACTCAAATATGAGCCACATCAGGTGCCATCATCCACCAAACGTAGAGGGAAAGCGACTTTGCACTGAGACTCACTGTGCACCCGCCAGCAGAGAGTTGCTTTAAACAATAGGAATGCAGAAAGTTTATCATGAAGCTTGTGTTCAGCAGTCTCCAACAAAATGAAACACTTTTCAAGTGACCACAGAAAATTCACAGATACCCATCAAGGCACCTGTTCAGAAGAGAAGACTGTAAATCCACAGGTAGACTCCAACAGGGCATTGTGCGAGGACAACACTGTCAGTAACCATTGCTGTGATGTGGACATCATCCACTTGGAAGAGTTCAAGTCTATCCTACAAGTTTTTGTTTTGTGACGCAAGTTACACTGGGTATTTTACACTACTTATACGAATAATGCTGACAACAGGCTATACATAAACCAAGAAGGTTTGGAAAAGTTTCCTAACAAAAATTTACATCCACAGATGTATGGGATACACAGCAAAATAAAGCAGTCAACTCCACAAGCAAGAAGAAGATGCTAAAATTAAATTTTAAAGGGTAAAAGGAAACAACATTAAAAAATTTTAAAGTAAAATTAATAAACAATGAAACAAAGACTGGTCCTTTAAAAGTATCAATAAACTTTAAAAGCTATGGAAAATCTAATACAAATAAATAAGCTTGAACAATAAAAAATAAATAGGCTCACTCATCCAGACACTGCTGTTTTTAAGTATAATGAACTAATATGGGTATATTCACCCTATAATTTGAAACTGTAAATGAAATGTACCAAGTTCTAAAAAATATAAACTACCTACCCTAATTACATGAAAATTTGAATGCAATGATGTTCAGGAAAAATTGAAAGGGTATTTAAAGATCCTATTCTTTAAAAGGTACCGATTCAGATGGTTTTAAAGGTATATACACCAGCCTTCGGCGTAAAGACCTTTCCTGTGATAGTGAAAACATCTGAGGCATAGAGTATATCAGAAGTCTTCTAAATTTATCTGATAACATTGGCAAGCCCTGATGTCAAAAACAGAAATGAGAGAGATGGGAAGGGAAAGAGGAAAGGAGGCAGGAAGAGAGAGGGAGGGAAGGAGGGAGGGAGGCACGGAGGGAGGCACTGGGGAGGGAATAAGAGAAACTATTTGAAAGAAAAGTAAACCATTAAATATGCCCATTATAGAAAACCATATGGAAGGTCCTCAAAAACTAAAAATAGAGCCATCCTATGATCCAGAAATCCCTCTTCTGGGTATTTATGCAGCAGAAAAGAAATCAGTCTGTGGAAGAGATATTTACACCCCCGTGTTCATTGCAGCACTAGTGACAATAGCCAAGCTATGGAATCAACCTAAGTGTCCACCAATAAATAGATGGATGAAGAAATTGTGACCTATATACACAGTGGAATACCTTTTTATATTAGTTTGGTTTAGTATATTATTTTATTTAATTTATTGTTTTAAAAAGTAGGATTTATTAAGAGGACAGAAATGCCCCCACAGTGGGAGGAGACCTGAGAGGGTTGCCCACAAGTGGAATATGATTCAGTCATAAGCAAGAATGAAATCTTGTCATTTGAGGCAACATGAATGCAATAGAGGATATTAGGGTGAGTGAAATAAACCAGACACAGAAAGAAAAACACTGCACAATCACGCTGACATGTAAAATGAAAAAAGTCAAGGCCATAAAAGCAGAGCATGGAATGTTGTTTATCCCAGCCTGGGGTGAAGACAATAGAGAGATGTTGAGGAAAGGGTACAGACCTTCAGTTATGCAGGATGGCTAAGTTCTGGAAATGTAAGGAACCACACAGTGAGTTTACTACAATCCAATATACAGCATACAGCAGGATAATACTGTATTGTATTCTGCAAATTTGCTAATAGTACAGCTTACGTGTTCTCACCACAAAAGAAAAACCAACTATGTGAAGTGGTGTGTATGTTAATTAGCTTGATGGTGGTGACAATTTCACAATGTACATGTCACCAAACCATCATATTGTACTCCTTAGAGCTCTATAATCTGATTTTTTCAATAATACCTCCATAAAGCTAGGGAAAATATTTATGAGCCATTATCAAGTAGATATGGATCTTGGAATATGTCAGAAAATGATATCATCTACTCCACTAATAAATAGAAGCAGAAAAGCCATTAAACTCTCAGTAGATTAGAACACAGACACATGCCCAAAAATCAACTCATTCTTTTCTTAAAAACTCAAGGCAAGTCAACATTCCTGGTGACCTCGGTAGAAAGAAGTTGCCTACACAAGGTCAAGACCATGCTATAAACCAGTGACTACCAGCTCAGCATGAGTCACAGAAGGAACTTCTTTCACCTCAGACACAAGACCAGCAGTGCAGTTGTACCCTCATCCAGTGCTGAGCGGGGCTCACAGCCCACAAGGGAAGAGAGTAAAATAAACTGAAAGTACACATTGTGGAATGGAATAAATAAAACACAAGTCACTTGCAGAGGACTGGCATCCAGCCACCCTCCGCACTAGGTTTGCATCATCTTCCAGGTCCATGCCCACCAGGACCTAGCCTGCTCATCTTTGCATGTCCACTCTCCATCTGAAGCTAGAGAGCTTTTGTGTGTTTTCAAATTTCATTGATCATGTGATCATCAGGGGCCCCGCCCTGCCAGTTCCCAACCAAAGCTACATGATCCAAAAGGAATTGTCCCCAGTGAGGGTGGGGCCTAGATGGGGAGCTGGCACTGAGACCCTGGAGGAATCATGGGAGGAGTCTTTGAGAATACTCTGTCCAGAGCTGGCAAGACCAGTGGCCATGGAGAAGGGAGGTAATAAGGTGACGCGTAACAGTTGAGAAGAGAGAAAGAAGTCACCATGCCCATTCCATGAAGGGGATCCCAGGAACAGCAGTGGGGAAAAGTAAAGAAAATTATAATACAAGCCCTAGAGATTGTCCCAGGAGCCACCATCGGGATTCCCACATCCCACTGACCTCAGGACAACATCCCCAACCCATGTCCCACTCACAAAACACACATGTTCCTGGGAGCCATGAAAAAAGCACAGCCCTCTACAGTCAGGAGAGAAAAAAGTCAGAATCCATGTATTCTCAGGCTGACCACCAGCCACTACCCTCTTTCAGAGGTCACTTATCTCCCCTCAGCACTTCTGCATTTGTATAATGTGCTCTAACTTACCCTTCACAGTGTGTCTGATCTGCAGAATTCACACTTGACCATGCACATCTGTCATCCTAGCCAGACCAGCATTCCTGCGGTTTCCTAAAAGTGACACTGGTTCCTTCACTCTGAAGGGTGGATTAAGCACATGGTTCTGAAACAACTTCTATAATACTCACCAGAGAATGTTAAAAAAAATTATAGAAAAAGAAAAACAATACACTCTAAAAACAAACAAGGGAGGCTCAGTGGGGTCCCATTTATGCTTCTGGAAAAGAGATGCACATGGAAACTGATGCGTGTTAAATTGGAGCAAAAACCCAAGCACAAGGATAAAGCAACTCAGTCTTTTATCAGCAGAGTGAGTGGAGAATGTATTTCATTCATCACAGTATTAAATCAACAGTCACAGAGGAAAGAGAAGATGAATTTTAACAATGCAACAACATTCCTGACATGAGTCTTTACATCCAAAGGCTGAATGTGCTCTAACCACAGAAAGTAAAAAAATACATAAGCCTAGAATGTAAAACATGGCATTTTGGAACAAGAAAACACACACACACACGCACACACAACATTCCTAAAGAGGTAAATAAATGTTTTAAAATAGAGACAAACTGTTAAAAAGATATAAGATCAACATCAGCAACACCAAGATGACACCAAAATGGAGGGCATGTTCATTGGTTTGGGGAAATGCTTCATTAAAACCAGAATTCTATACCCAGCCAAACTGTCACATATGCATGATGGTAGGGTTGACCCATTTTCACACATTCAAGAGTCTTAAAATGCATATCTTCGTGTCACCACATAAGAAAATGTATTTGATCATTCATTGTGACATCACAACAATGGAAAAAACCAAGATTAAGCTTCAAATCTGCAAAGAGAGGCACCTGAGTGCATCATAGTAAAACAAGAGATCTAAAAAGAGAAAGCCTGAATCCAATGGATGTTGAGTCTCATGTCTTCTCTTTACAGGCACAAGTGACTTAGGTGGGACCCATAGCTCCTGATACCTACTCCTCTGTGCCAGCTGATTTTATAAGAAGTGCACATTTTGCTTCATGTTTATGTTTTAAAATGCTCAAAGTCATAAAAATATTTCATTCCATCCAAACACAGGATTGATGGAACCAAAATTTTTCCTTTGGTGTTTTCATCCCTGAAAATTCAACTCAGGACAAGCCTGTCTCAAATATTTTCCACATCTTTTCTGGGGTCAAAACAAGAAGAGATGAGGAAACAAAGTCCTGTAACCTACACACAAGTTTAATGGAACACACCATGTCCATCTGCTCCAGCACTTACACTGACCCTTGGCAGGTGGACAACTGTCCAGAGAGCTGCTGCGAGCCCCTCTGCTGTGCCCCCAACTGCTGCTCCCTAGCCCCCTGCCTGAGCCTGGTTTGCACCCCAGTGAGCTGTGTGTCCAGCACCTACCAGTCAGTCTACATCAGCTCCTGCACACCCTTGTGTTGCCAGCAATCTAGCTGCCAACCGGCTTGCTGCATCTCCTCTCCCTGCCAGCAGGGCTGCTGTGTGCCTGTCTGCTGCAAACCTGTGTGTTCTGGGGCTTCCTCTTCATGCTGCCAGCAGTCTAGCTGCCAGCCTTCCTGCTGTACCTGTTCTCCCTGCCAGCAACCCTGCTGCAAGCCCATCTGCTGCAAGACTGTGTGCTGCAAGCCCATCTGCTGTGTGACCTTCTGCTCTGGTGCTTCCTCTTTGTGCTGCCAGCAGTCTAGCTGCCAGCCAACTTGCTGCCCCTCCTCCTGTGTGTCCCTCCTCTGTAACCCTGTGTGCAGACCCACCTGCTGTGTGCCTGTCCCCTCCTGCTGTGCCCCCGCCTCCTCCTGTCAGCCCAGCTGCTGCTGCCCGGCCTCCTGTGTATCCCTTGTCTACTACCCCGTATGCTCCCACCCAGCCTGTTGAGGCCTCTCCCTGCAGAAGCCCTGCTGCTGACAGTTCTGTCTCCATCTACCCATCCTGTGTCTTGCCTCTCAGACAGGGCTTCCACTCTCAGCAGCCTCTGGTGGCCTCAGACCCACCCTCTTTCTTTCTGTGACCCCATGTGGCAGCCTGAAGGCACTGTGCATGTAACATGCCATACTTCTTCCCACCCCCCAGGAAGAGGTGACCCACAAGTCCCTTTGTGGGTGACCTGGGGACTCCAGCACTCCCTTCTTGGGCATGGCTGCATCCTGTGTAAAAGATCAATTGCTATAATCAATACATAATTTGTGGCAGGACATGTGAGCTGGTGCGTATTTGCTGCTCCTCCTCTGACCCTGTGACAGCCCCCGATCTGGGAACCAGATTTGCAGGATTTGAAAGCACAGATGATCTGTCCACTTCCCTTCCCATGGCCTGAGACCAAGCCTGGGATAGGCCTCCAGGCTGGACAGGGGAGAGAGGCTTGGGTTCCAAGTGGACCCCACGCCACCTGCCCATGTCTATCCCCTCCCATCCAGGGGGACAGTGAGCTGGGAAGAAGCAGAAACTCTGTCCAGTTGGGACCTGAGAGCTCATTCCTGCAGTCAGCACCTGCATCCCCCACGTGGCCTCCTTCCTTCTGCAGCCGCTTTGATGCCCGGACAGAAGCAGGGCCACCATCAAGACTGGCGTAGACCCTTTCTCTGTGCACAGGGGGCTCCTCCTGTGTCCCAAAGGGGTCTAACAAAGCAGATTCTCAGAGTGGACCATTCCTTCCCAAGGAGTCAAGATGAAAGATGTCACAGTCCAAGGGATAGGGCCCCACTGTGCGGGACACTGTCAGCAAGGTCTTGTGGCTTTGCGCCAAACTCTCTGTGAGCTGTCTTGTGTTCCTTCAAAAAAAGTAATCTTGGAGCGCTAACCCCTAATGTCTCTAGATGTGACCTTGTTTGGAAATAGGACCTTTGCCGATGTAATCACGTGAAAGTTGTTAGTAAGGAGCCCTGATCCAGTACAACTGATGTCCTTATCAAAGGGGAGATCTGGACGCAGGGACACAGGGAGATACCACATGACCATGGAGGCAAAGATCGGGTGATACTTCTATAAGCCAAGAAGCGCCAAAAGTCCAAGAAACCCACCAGATACCAGGAAAGAGGCCAACGAGATATTGTCCCTCACAGCCTTAGAAAAAACCAACCCTGCTGACACCTTACTGTCAAACCTCCAGAAACATGAAACATAAGCTTCTGTTAGAGCAGCATAAACTTACTTTTGGTGGTCTGTGTTGTGGCAGGAGACCCTGGATGTTAACACACCCTCCAACTCTGGCCCCAAACAAGGGTGGAGAGTCCATGGAAGGGAGGCTGGAGGTTGGGTAAAGATTTTCTAGAAAGGAGGGCCTGGGGCCTGGGACTTCCTTCAGGCTTGGAGAGAGGGCACCTTGGAGATCCCTGGAAATGGGACAACAAGGCCCTGGGTCTGATGCAGCCGAGAAGTATGAGGCCAGAGTCTGTGCCAGATGCTCTGGGAGAAAGGCAAGGGCAAAACTTGCTGACAGTTCCCCAGGGTGTGGGCTCCTGGGAGAGAGTTCCAGGAGTGAGCTTAAGGCCTGGCAAGGGGAGCCCAGAGGCAGGACAGTCTTCAGCAGGTGGAGGCTGGACTAGGGCCTCCTCCTGGCTGGAGAAGCTGAGGGCAAGAGTTCTTGCAGTGGATGGGCCATGAGAGGTAGAGTGACACCCAGGCACCTAAAGGCAGAAGAAAAGCCCAGTCGCCACAGCCTTGCCAAGGGAACGTCTCTCTCCTCCCCTTTTCTTCTTCTTGTCATTCCTTCCCCAGGCAGGAGTGGCTTTGTGTATAATGCATGTGCCGCCTCCACTTGCAAATATCTCCCTGGATGGGAGCAGTTTACTAAGGAGACTTAACACTGAAGTGGCCAAAAATGGGGGTTTTCAGACATTAAGGCATGCCACCCATCCCTAGACAGCTCACAGCTAAGCAAAACCGAGGAGGTAGAAACACCAGGCTGTGAGACAGAGAAGCTATGCAAGGGTCCTGTGGCCACAGACTCAGTGACTTCAAACAACACAATTTTTTTTTTGGAGTCGAAGTCTCACTCTGTCGCTCAGGCTGGAGTGCAGTGGCACACTCACAGCCACCGCAGCCTTGACCCGCTGGGCTCAGGTGATCCTTCCACCTCAGCCTTCCAAGCAGCTGGAACCACAGACATGCACCTCCATGCCTGGCTGATTTTTTTTAAATTTATTGTAGAGATGAGATCTCACCATGTTGCTCAGGTTTATCTCAAACCTGTGGGCTCAGGCAATCCTCTTGCCTCTGCTTCCCAAAGTGCTGGGATTACAGGCGTGAGACACTGTGCCCGGCTGATTTGGGTTTGTAATATATATATATAATTCAGTCAATTCTAGCTAAAATACAAACATTAAAAATCTAACCCTAACCTCATTTGAAGCTGAAGGGGGAGAGGAGGGAGAAAATAGGTTTTTAAAATTAAACTGCTATAGAAACTGCTTTACCCAAAATTTTGGTTCACAACCTTCACTGGATTACCCATTAAATAAAGTTTAGCCATGTGACTAGGTCACAGTTTTGTCAGAAATGTAATTTGGATCCAACTTGGATCCAATTATCCATTATTCAAATTAATGAATTTGTGGTCCTAGCTCATGACCAAAATTCTAAAATGAAAGTTATAAGATCTTTATCTGTGTGTATATGTGCTTAGATGTGTCTACATATTTGTATATGTATTATGTTATATGCTGTGTCTACATGGTACCAAACTGACGTATAAATAAATGAGCACTCCAAAATTTGTAAGCCTAAATATTTTCCAAGTTCACATGAATTATGCAAATCTTTAACAAATAAGCTGGTTTTAAAATTTTTGGTAAAATTGAAATTAAAATATCTTCAAAATTGTCATCATATAGTTTTGCCTGGATTAATGAGTGAGACCATTTTACATTTGTCTCTGTTAAATATGTTAAGAAGTCAGGTTGTGACATGAAGGTTATAAAACTGTATACCTAGCTAAAACAAAATGACCTTTGTGCATATTTTAAGTAAGAGCAATTTAATATTGTTGACTTAATAAAACAGGTGTATCTTCTGAGTTATCAGCAAAATACCCATATATTTAACTTTTATTTTCCTGATAGTCACAGGTTATAAAAATGGCTGACAAGGAATAACTTAGAATGATAACTAGCTTTTTCTAATACCTCAGTTTTTATTGGTAAACGAGGTAAAGAGAAAAAGTAATAAATTAAGTAAACATAAATGAAATAAATATCTACAAATGAACTTTTTTATAATTTGAATCTTAAAGTTGTATTAAATTCAATAATAGATACTCATTAAATGTTGGAATTATTTCCAATTTTAAAAAATAAGAAAGCTTGTTTCTAAAAATTATAAAGTGTCTCTTATCTGTAAAATACTGACATGTGACAGATAATTCAAGGTTTCTTGCTTCCTAGGTTTTCCCTAAAATTTAAGGACTAAAATATTTAATTAATATATATAAGTATATATATATAAACTGTGCCAAAAAATAAGATGTGTGTTAATAACAAAAAATTATCAGAAAAGTATAACAATGTGCTTTTTACTGAGAAAAATAATAATTTAATCTAATTCAGAGATTATTTAAGTTATTTTTAAAATATAGATTTAGGATGGAAACACGAAACAGGTTAAAAAGAAACCAGTAAGTCGGAGTGAGAGATGTGAAAAAAGATATAGGTATGAGGTCTACTTCACACCAAGCACTGTAATAATAAGTATTTTACATAGGTTATCTCATGCATCTTTCATGCATTCGGTGTGGCTGATACTCCGTTTGTACAGATGTACAATTAGAAAGTCATAGAAGTTTTGCATAATGTATGTATTTGTTGCATGAACAAATGACTTCTTGTATAGATTATTCTGTGGCATAGGTTGGTTAACTATCTGTAAAGGGCAGATAGCAAATATTTTAGGCTTTACATGTTATGGTCTGTTCCATACCTACTCAGTTCCACCATTATAATATGACAAGCCATAAGCAATGCAGAAACAAATGGCATGCTGTATTCCAATAAAAGTTTATATACAAGGGGCCAGGCTCAGTGGTTCAGCCTGTAATCCCAGCACTTTGGGAGGCGGAGGCGAGTGGATTGCCTTAGCCCGTGGGTTCAAGACCAGCCCAGGCAACTTGGCAAGACCTTGTCTCTACAATTAATAAAAAATTAGCTGGGCATGGCAATGTATGCCTGTAGTTCCAGCTACTTGGAAGGCTGAGGTGGAAGGATCACCAGAGCCCAGTAGGTCGACTCTGGGGTAGCTGTGAGTGTGCCACTGCACTCCAGTCTAGGCAACAGAGTGAGACTCAAACTCAAAAAAGAAAAGAAAAGAAAAGAAAAAAACCAGCTTATATACAAAAACAGGCAGCAGGTCAATACTTTAAAGTTTTCCTGTGCAAATAAAAAAAAAAATCTCGCCGGGCTCGGTGGCTAAGTCTGTAATCCCACGCCTTTGGGAGGCTGAGGTGAGTGAATTGCCTGAGCCGGCGGGTTCGAGACCCGCCTGGGCAGCGAGACCTCATCTCTAC